TCATTTTTAGTTTAGCAGAGGCTCAAAGAGGAGTGAGCAGTGAAGACAATAGCAGTATCAGCTGAAGGGGGAAGTCACTGGAAGACTTCAGTGCAGCTGCCTCCTCGATAGTCATGATTTAGTCATAAGCATTGTTAATTGACAGCTGTGTCAAAAGAGCAAATCACATCAGTAATATCTGAAAATTAGCAAATCAAATGGGAATTATTTCAATAATTTTAGGACTTATCCTCCTAATTATATCATTTGTTAAGTGACATTATGTTATATTTATTTAAACAGTAAATGTTAGATATTATATGTTTTATGGTATTTATTAAGTGTTAAATACATGGTATTTTAGATTCTTTGAAACTAACCAAACATATTTAGTTTTGTATATTGTATTATTATTCAAATGATTATGTATTTGAAAATAACTTCAACCCAGAAATAGACCACGTAATTATTTTCATTCCTCTAATTTTTATTAGAAAACCTAAAGTCAAATTTAAGAGGTTCATCATCATTCTTGTTATTAGGTATGTTAGTATTTTTAATTAGGGGAAACATGGATGTAAAAGCAAGATGTTATAACTAAGCAAAATGCTATAACCAAACATAACTAAGAATGAAAATTTTAAATAGTTGATAGGTTTTTGTTTTTCCTTTTTTTTAACAATATAAATTTATTTATTTTAATTGGAGGCTAATTACTTTACAATATTGTATTGGTTCTGCCATACATTGACATGAATTCACCACGGGTGTACATGTGTTCCCCATCCTGAACCCCCCTCTCACTTCCCTCCCCATCCCATCCCTCTGGGTCATCCCAGTGCACCAGCCCCGGGCACCCTGTATCTGCATCGAACCTGGACTGGCGATTAGTTTTGACCTTATATTTTTAATCTAAAGATTACACTCTTTCTCTAAGTTTGGGAAAATAAAGTAATTTTTGCTTACTATATAATGCTAATATATAAATACATGTGGTCTTGAGAAAGACAAATACTATGTGATATCACTTATATGTGGAATCTAATAATAATACATACATATATAATATGAATATATATATAAAATAGAAATAGACTTACAGACATAGGAAACAAACTTGTGGTTCCCCAAAGCGGAGAGAGAGGGGAGGATGGGACAGGTTAGGAGTACAGGAGTAACAGATACGAACTACTAAACATGGGTTTACTTCATAGCACAAAAGTTTATATCTAATATCTTGTAATAACCTATAATGAAATATAGGCTACAAAAAAATGGGATGACACCTTAAACTAACACAATATTATGAGTCAGTGGTACTTCAGTATAAATGAATGAATGGATGCAGTCTTTCATCTTCACTGGGAAAAGGAAGAAAATACATGTTATTACAAGATAATAGCCTTTAGACTCTTAGGGCTCTTGTACCATAGCCTGTTGTTGAACCACGTGTGTGATATGTGGCTGAAAATTTAAATTAATCACAATTCTTATTTCCAAAGAGATTTACTTTGGAAAGTAAATCTCTTTACTAACCATTGGTAGTAACTTAGAAGCTAATTGAAAGACCAGTAATTGAGAAGAGATAATTATCGTGTCATCTGTCATTGGATCACATGTAAACCTTACTGAGAAAGAACAAAAATCTCTGTTTGATATTCCTGTACCAGTCTTGGGCAGAAGGAGTTTATAGATAACACAGGTTTTGAGTCCATTGCCCCATGATGCAAATGTAGGGTCTGCTCCAACCATTAGTAAACTATTTATCTGACATATATATATATGTGTGTGTGTGTTTATATATATATATATGTGTGTATATATATATATATATATATAATTTATATATATATGTGATATATATATATGTATGTGATGATTTTCATCATCATTTTCCTAAATTTAAAAATCTGGTTATTTTTTCGAGTCTGTGCAGATGTTCTTTAAATGAGGAAAAGATCTCTAAGTGAATATATGTTTATAGAGCACCATTATTTTGAGTTTTGTGCTAAAAGAACTAGGACTAAAAGATATTTTAAGATAGTAGTGATACACACTTGCATATATCCCAAGTCATGAGTGCCTGATCTTTAACTAAGCACTCAAGTACCCCTGATATAATACCAGTATTATCCAACCTTGATTGAGAAATAACTGTTTCAGCTAATCTATAATGGCTGACTTAGTCATTAATTTTTTGGTAAGATTATAATATGCAGTATTACAATATACCTATATCTTTGCAGTTATTACTTTAGTTCCACTAAAATTGCATTCAACAGTGTTGGGCTAGTAGAGGGTTGGGGTAGTGGAGTGAGCAGGCTGGTAGCTGGTTCCTACAGTGTTTTTTAAAAGCATTCACTTCAAACATTCTTATGAGGAATTATAACATTTGAAAACTACTTGGAGGTTGCTTGGTATAATGTATCACTTTACAAAGTAATAAGTTTTGAGTTTTAATCCAATATCTTTTAATAAAGAAGTGACAAATTCATATGTGTGTAAATATATCTGTTCAGACCTTTCATGTAAAACTTTTTCACATAACTGCAATTATTTGATCATACTGTGCCTTTATAGAGATGTGCTATAGCTTCAAAGATATGCCTTTGTCTTTTAAAGTCTGTATTATATATTAAGATACATGCAGCAGAGTGAATTCATTTTGATAAGCACTAGCTTTAAAAGCAGTGGTAACTTTAAATGACATTTGGCAATGTATGTGTAGATGTGCATAAAAATATAAATTCTTGCCATCTGACATGGGTTTTTCTGGCTTTCTGTGCCTTGATCATTCATTGTTTTGCTCTTGGTCACCTAAACTTTCACTAATTGAATTGAGGTTTTTTTTTTCTTTTTTTCCCCCACAGTTTGTGTTTTAACCTTTTTTTTTTTTTTTTTCCATATTCTGTCATTTTGGTGCAGGGCATTTCTGATCTGCAGTTGTTCTGTAATATGTCTTTGTAAATTGTAAGTGATACTGAAAGTATGATATGTATACTTACTTTGCTTATGGTATAGTGAAGTGCTTTTAAATCAAAACCTAGAGTTTTGAAATAGAAGAAAAATAAATCTATTCTGTACTTACCTTACATGTCAAATCTGTGCAGTCTGACTTTAAATACAAACTCTAAGAGTTTCCAGAAGTGTAATTTTTAGGGAAAATGTTTCTACTTTGTTGCACAGAAATGTTTGCAGATCAGCATTGCTGACGACCAAAAAAAGAAATAGTCATATACACGTCATCTGATTTTTAGCTGTGCTTCCGTGTTGCTGCAGTGAAATTCTGTGCATCACAATAATTGGCCTTCTGTACTAGATGTGATTCAGTTACATCTTAAGTTTTTAATGTGCAAACTGAGTGAATTCTATTTTTTCCATATATTTTTATAGCTTTGTTGTCTCTGATAGCATTTCATTTGCCATCTTCTTTTTTCTGTTTATTAGTCAATCAGGAAAAAGTTGCATCTCTTAAGTTTTAAATGTACTCATTTTTATGCAGAACTATTTAAATAATAATATTTTTAATATTCAGTTGTGACAAGATCACTTAATTTTCTCAGAGCTTTTACTTCACAGAAATGACTATTTCCCCCCAATACTTTTTTCTTCATAACAGTATTTATATATTTTAAAGAAAATTCCCAGTAAAGACATAGTTAAATCTTGCTCATGATGAAACATTTCAAAAAGCTCATTAAAATGTTTCCTCAGTATTCATGTTTATTGTATTAGACTCTGCAGTAAAAGGAGAAATCTTTAAGTTTCATTAGTGTCTCTTACTGTGAACAAATATCTATTTGAAGAGTTGTCAGAAACTTTGAAATTCTACCTAGTTTTATTCAGTATCCTTAGATAACTACACTCTTAGAATTGTACACAGTCATTTGCTTTAGAATGATTTTAATTGTAACTTTAAAAACAAACATGTCTATTCTTTGGCTTTAAATGAAACCTAAAATAAATCCCTTGGAACTTTTTTTTAGATATGTATTTGACATATCTGTGCTTGTTTATAGAAGACATATACTTTGTAGAAAAATTGATAGACATCCCACATTTGTAAGATACTTAAAACATACTTCTTCAACATCTTAATGAAGGAATATATTCACTGTTTCTGTATGTTGATTTATAACATTATTCTAGATAAATACTTTGTTTTTAATCCTAAGATTTTCTTTAACTGTATTTGCTAGGACTACATCTAAGTTTTGTCTTTTCCCCTAAAATTATGTCACCTGGAAACATTCCATTACATTTCTTACCTAGACTGAGTGAAGCACAATTTGCCTAAATGAGAATATGCCATAGATTTTATTTTTAAATAGAACTATTCCTTGTCAGACAGCTAGAACATTTGATTAGTAGTCCCCTGTATTCTACAACTATGGAAAACATTCACCAGTTTGCTTGCAAATCAACTCTGCTCCACGCGTTCACAAGTTTCTTAAAGATTGCATGCTTTCTGTTTTCAATACAAATTGTAATTTTTTTCATACCCATCCTTGCTTTTTATTTTTTATTTTTGTTTCCCTTTTCTTGGTTGGATGCCTGCATGTGTTTATTCCAAATCCCTGTCCAGTCCTGGAGTTTGAACTACGGAAAGCCAAGGAGACCATTCAGGCCCTCCAGCCAACCTGACAAAGGCTGCAGGTGGTGTACATACAACTTTTTTGAGATTTTCTACTTTGACGATGTAGAAGTAGCTGAGATATTTTCAAACGTAAAAGAGTAAAATATTATTTGTATTTCTTCCACCAGAACATGGAGTTCCTTTACAGGAACGAAAAAATTACAAATCAAGTCCTGAAATTCAGGTGGGTTAATGACAGATCTAAAAGTGTCTTCCATATGAAATGGTAACACAAGTATTGAAAGAGGAAGACTTACAGTACTGTATCCATCTTTTATCTATCTCTAGGAGCCAATCAAACCTCTTGAAAAGAGAGCTCTAAACTTCTTAGTCAGTGAATTTTTGTTGAAGAATAACTACAAGCTGACATCAGTAACGTTTTCAGATGAAAATGATGATCAGGTACAGTTTCCTTCTTTTTTTTTTAACAATAATTTGTTTCCTTTCTAATTTAGAATGTCTTTTACCTAGCTTCTTTAGTTTTTTAAAAGTTATACATACAGTAAAATTCCATAACACCAAAATACTAAAATAGAAAAGAAAGAAGATTTCAAATTGATAAAGATTGGTTTCTATTTTAAGAAACTAGAAAAAGAAAACTAACTGAAGTCCAAAGAAATTGAAAGGAAGGCAATATTAAAAATGAGAATGTATCAGTGATACAGGCAACAGAGAAAAACAGAGAAAAGTTAATAACAACAAAAAACTGGGTATTTGAGGTTAATGAAATTGGTAAACCTCTAGCCTGACTTATTAAGAAAAAGAGATAAGAAGCAAATTATCAGAATCTGGAATGAACAAAGTTGTATCACTGTAGATATCTACTAGACTTTTAAGGAAGAAGTAAAGTAAATGAACAAGGTTATGTCACTGTAGATACCTACCAGATATTTAAGGAAGAAGTAATACCACTTCTCCACAAACTCTTCCAGAAATTGCAGAGAAGGGAATTGTTCAAAACTCATTCTATGAGACCAGCATAATTCTGATATCAAAACCAGATACAGACCTGGCTAACAAAGAAATTTACAGACTCATTTTCCTCGTGAGCATGGATGTAGAAAATCTATATAACATTTTACTATATCAAATCCAGCAATGTGTAAAAACACTAATACACAATGACCAAATGGTTTATCCAAGGAACATAAGATTGATTAGTCCAAAAATCAATCATTGTAATTCACCATTTTGAGAAACTTTTCAAAAGAGAAAAGAAATCATATGATCAACTCAAGAGAAAATATTTGACACAATCAAACGTATCTTTCCCATGAAAGCTTTAAAGAAATTAGGAGTTGTGAGGAATTTCCTCAAATTCATAAAAGACATTTACAGAAAAACTGTCACTAACATCATACTTAATGATGAAAGATAAGGAATAAACAGGAATATCTGCTCTCACTACTTCTATTGAACATCATACTGAGGAATCTAGCCAGTACAAGGCAAGAAAAAGAAATAAAAGGCATATATTTTGGAAAAGAAGAAAGAAAACTTTCACTGGTAACATGATTATATATATAGAAAATCCTGTAGACTGCATTAAAAAAGACACTATAGTAAGTGATGATAGACAAGTTGTAGGATACAAGATCAGTAAACAGAAATGAATTGTATTTCTGTATGCTAGCAACAAATAGACATTCAACTTTTAAAGATACCATGTACAAAAGTATCCAAAAAAATAAGAAATACTTAGGGATAAGTATGATGAAGGATTATACACTGAAAACTATTATACATGCGGAAAGAAAATAAAGAAGACATAAAGAAGAGATATATTGTGCTAATAGATAAGATTCAGTGTTGTCAAAAAGTGTCAATTTTTGTAAAATTGATTTGTACTTTTAACAGAATCCTAATCAGAATCTCGCTAGCTTTTTTGTAGAGGTTGGCTTATTCTCAAATTTCTATGGGAATGGAAATAACATAGTATAGCCAAAACAACTTTAATAAAGAAGTACAAAATTAGGGGACTTCAACTAGCTGACTTTAAGATATTATAGTTCAGGCAGTATCTTATTGACATAAACATAGACAGGTCACTGGAACTTAGTGGAGAGTCAAGAGATTAACTTACACATAAATGATCTTTTGATGTCTAACAAAGCACAAAGTAAATTCCATTCAGAAAGTATAGTCTTTTTTACAATTGGTACTGTAACATTTTGATATCTGTATACCTCCAAAAATGAACTTCGAACCATACCTCACACCATATACAAAAAGTAATTCAAATGGATCATGGATTTAAATGTAAATTCTAAAGCCATAAGGCTCCTAGAAGAAAACATGGAAAAATTCATTGCAACCCTGGAAGGTAGGCCAAGATTTCTCTTATATGACACCAAAAGTATGGTATTCTTCATCAAATATTTGTTCTCATCGAAGTCAATAACTTCTACTCTTTGAAAGCTACTCTAAACAAATGAAAAGATGAGCCATAGATTAGGTAAAATATTTCAAGTAACATATCTGATAAAGAATTTCTATCCAGAATATTTAAAGAACTCTCTAAAGTGAATAATTTTTTTTAAAAGACCCAATTTTTTTAAAAATGGACAAAAAATTTATACAGATGTTTCAACAAAGAACATATATGGATATCAAATAAGCGCATGAAAAAAGATATTCTACACCTTTAGTCATTAGGTAGATAAAATTAAGTCACAATGAAATACCATAGCACACTTACTAGAAGGTTTAACCGAGACTGTACCAAGTCTTGGCAAAGATGTGGAGTAAGTAGAAATATCATCATTGCTCTTGGGAGTCCAAAATGGTGCAGTTACTTTGGAACATTTTTTGGCAGTCAATTTAAAAAAAATTAAAACCTTCACCACCTATATGACTTGATCATTCCATTTGTAGATTATACAGTCCAAGAGAAGTGAAGGGACTCTACACAGTGTTCACACCAACTTTATTTATAATAGCCGACATTAGGGAGACAACCCAAGTATCCAAAAGCAGGCAGTTGAATAAAAAATTTTGATGTATTGTTACAGTGAAATGCTAACTCAGTGATAAAAAATAATGAACCTCTGACAGATACAACAACATAGATTAGTCTGAAAATCAATAATCTGGATGAAAGAAACCAGGCAAATAGAGTACTTGCTGTATGCTTCCACTTATATAAAATTCTAAGAAATGTAAACTTGTAACAGTGACAGAAAACAGAACAGTATTTGCCTAGGTACAGGGCATCTGTGAGGAAAAAAGGGGAAGTATTACAAGCAACCAGTAAAACTTTGGGGAGTGAACAGTTCATCTTTTTATTTTTCATAGCTTTGGTGTTTAATCTTTTTTTCCCCCCCCCCTCTGCTTTATTTGTTTATTTTTGGCTGTGCTGGGTCTTCATTGCTGTGCTGGCTTTTCGCTAGCTGCAGCGAGCGGGGGCCACTCTGTTGTTGCGAAACACGGACTCTCGGGGTGTGGGCTTCAGTAGCTGCAGCACGTGGGCTCAATAGTTGGAACTCCCAGGCCGTCGATCAAACAGGCTCAGCAGCTGTGGCACACAGGCTTAGTTGCTCCAGGACATGTGGGATCTTCCCAGATCAGGGATCAAACCTGTGTCTCCTGCATTGGTCCGCAGATTCTTTACCACCGAGCCACGAGGGAAGCCGCCAAGTTCATCTTGATTGCACTGATCTCTTCAGGTGTGTACTCAGGTGTCAAAACTTCGCAGATTGTACGTTTTAGAGTCGCGTGTGGATTTAAGACTTCCCTGGTGGTTCAGACGGTAAAAGCGTCTGCCTACAAGGTGGGAGACCCAGGTTCGATCCCTGGGCCGGGAAGATCCCCGGGAGAAGGAAATGGCAACCCACTCCAGTGTTCTTGCCTGGAGAATCCCATGGATGGAGGAGCCTGGTAGACTACAGTCCATGGGGTCACAAAGAGTCGGATTTAAATTATGTGGTTTGTTATTTATTAATTATATACCCCAATAAAATTATTTTTTAAAGGGCAGTGCAAGTGCTCATCATTATTTATTCTTTAACCATTAAGTGATGTTTAATGGTGATTTCAACTGACCTTAAAGCAGTTCTGTCCTAGAGCCCTCGCTCCTTTCATGTTTAGCCTCTGCCTAAAATGTAAGACTTTTTACCTGATTTTTTTTTTTTGATCATTTATATTAGTGGCCTGATTTTATCTTTATGGCTCTATTGTTACCTAAGATTATCTCTTATCTCCCTTGACTAGCCTATAATCTTCTTGAGGCTAAACGAATCTCTTGTTCATCTCTGTATCTGCATGAATAGTAACACTCATTACACACTTATTGATAGTTTTGTTATATGTTTATCTGCATGTAATCCTTGTCTTATTGTTTTTTGGTTCCCTGTTGCCCATTCTTTCCTTTACTTCCTATCTTTCCTTTCTGTGGTGCTATGTGAAATTTTCTTATTGTAAATAAACACTCTTCATTTTCAACTTCTCTCTGAATATCCTTTTTTTTTAATTTTAGAAATTTATTATTTTTTAATTCTTTGGTTGTGATGGGTCTTTGTTGCTGCACGCGGGCTTTCTCTAGTTGTGGCGAGCTGGGGTTACTCTTCACTCTGGGGTACATGGGCTTCTCATTCCTTGGTTTCTCTTGTTGCAGAGCTCAGGCTCTAGGTGCATGAGTCTCAGTAGTCACAGGTTGCAGGCTCAGTCGGTGCAGCCCTCCAAGTTCTAGAGCTTGCACTCGGTAGTTCCAAGACAGGTGGAACCTTCCCGGACCAGAGACGAAACCCAGGTCCACTACATTGGCAGGCAGGCTCTCGTCCACTGTGCCACTAGGGAAGTCCAGAATATCCTTTTTGCTGTAAAGAAAACTTGTCTCTCCACTGAGGACCCTGTTTCCCTTATTTTCCAAGTATGAGGTGGGGGTGTATCTCACAGTCTAATCCTAGACACTTCCTGACTCCCAGGATATTTATTCACTGGGCACATACACTTTGACATTATCACACAATTATGTTGAATTTTCAAGATACTAGCAATAAGGAAAAGATACATCTCAAAAATGCAAGATAAAACTGCCACATGGATTTTTCTTATGTTTTAAAATTTTGAATTATTGGATGATGTAGGATTAAACATTCCAAAACCTCCAGACTTACTACAGCCGTACCGAGATTTTGGAAATCATCAAGTAACTCGAAAGACCTTGTGGAAGTGGCCAGCGGTGTAGAAGAAGATGAATTAGAGGCTCTGACACCAGTTTTAGGCAGCCTCCCTTCAACCCTTGAAACTCCACAGACTGTAGAGGTGAGAGGTATTAATAATCTAGTCCACAAAAAGTGTTTAAGCCATGTCAAAGCAGACTATGAGATCTTGAGTTTCTGTTTTTCTCCCATTTTGATTTTAGAACTCCTTGCTAGTGCAGAAATTAGAAGATAAAATTAGTTTATTCAATAGTGAGAAATGGTCTTTGATGGAACAAATCAGAAGACTTGAAAGGTTAGTACTTAATCATCATTTCTATAAAACCTCTTAAAATTATTAAAGAAATTGACAGATTATATAAACATAAGATAATATTTCAGTGGAAAGCTATAATTTTTCATATCCTAATACTTCTGGGGGAAAAAAAATCTTATAATTGCTTATATACTTAATGTGTTCTTATCCCCCCAAAAGTTGTTAATCACTGTAATAATCATAAAATCATATATGTCTTAGAACCAAGGAGTAAGATATTTTTTACTTTCTTCAGGTTGTATCAGTAGTAATAAAGTAACTTCTTCATGCTAGTGTTATACATATTTTCCATTCATTATTTCATTTAATTCTTATACTCATGATGTGGGTTAGATGGAATTTTCCACATTTTGCACATGAAGAAGGCTCAGTGATGATCCAAAGCATAGTTTATAAAACCATTTTTATGTTTTGTAAGAGTTTGTGGCTACATTTCTATATGAAGCATCAATATATATGGTACAGAAAAGATTAATTAGTTGCCAAACCACTTTCTATTAACATGTTATACTTTTAAAGCATTAAACCCAGTATGAGGTTTATGCTATTGCCAAAGTCTTTACAATTCTTCACTAATAATTTCTCTTTCTTTTACAGTGAAATGGACTTCCTCAAAAATGAACACTTTGCCAGCCCTGTAGTTTGTGACTCTGTTCAGCCTTCTTTGGATCAGTCTCCCCACAAAGACTCTGAAGACAGTGGAAAGAAATCAGTTATAAATAGTTTCAACAAGGGAGAAAACAAGGACGTCCATCTTTCAAAATCAGATGAAGTTGATTCCACTGTTCCTAAAGAGAATTTCCCACATTCTTTCCTCAGGAGAGAAAGAGACGGAATACCATCTTCTTCTCCATCAAGTAAAAATAGAGTCCATTTTGATAAACCCAATAGGTTAGTATGTGTTCTGTTGTTGAAATGCATCTTTCAGCTATTTAGTACATTGTCAAACTAGAAGAGTTTCAGTTCTTATTTTGCAGATCAGATGCATGAATTTTTATGTGTCTGACATGAACTTAACACATAGCAGAGTCCACATCATTGCAAAAAAATCATAAGTAATTACTAAGTTAAATTGTGTTAAAGAGGAATAGACCAAAATGAACTAGGTCCTATTTTAGCTAAGTACTGAAACCCATAAATAATATGTATGTTCTGGGTGCTGTATTTTACCCAGTGTTTTTTACCTTTTCTGTGTTCTACAGTCATTATCAGATTCAGTAGAAAGCTTTGATATTAAATAGTTGCCTTTACTAAAAAGGCGGTTAGTTCTTGATCTTAGTCCTTTTTCCTGTGTCTGCCTCCATTAGTAATGTTGTGTCATGAATATTATCTTAATTCATTTAATTTTTATTGAATAGCAATGATTGAACTTAGATGACTAAAGCAGGGTCCCTTGCCCATCATGATTATGTTTCCTAGTAGAGGAGACAAAAAGTATTTACATTATAATGTGAAAAAAGAATATTCTCTAAGAGAGGAATATTTATTGAGTTCTTTTTCTATATCAGGCACAGTTCTAAATGCTTTACATATGCATTAACCCAGTTAATCCTCACACATAACTTGTGAGCCAGTCATGCTTCCTCCTCCTATTAAATGGAGGAGTATTAGAGCAAGTGTTGGGATGTAATAGGAAAGCATGACTAATTTGTTTTAGACTTAAAGGTACTCATTATTAGTGAGAAGTATTTGATTTTTTTTTCCAAAGCAAATTTTTTTACTCATATGCCACAACTTTGTGTGTGGTTGTGTGTGATTGAAATAGACATGGCCCAGTCCTCAAAGTGCATTTAATCTAATATGGTTAAGATATAGTCATAAAAATAATGCAGTGGCATTTGTAGTAGTTCTTAATGCTTAGTAGTTCCATATATCTCCTTTATAGTCCAAAGCTACTCTCAGGAGAAAGATGATTGTTAAATTTATCCAACTAACTTTTTTAGCTCTTAACTGTATGTCGGGCAATGTTAATGAAGAATATAAAGTTTAAAAGAAGAGTGAAAGTGTTAGTTGCTCAGTCATGTCTGACTCTTTGGGACCCCATGCACTATATCCTGCCAATCTTCTCGAGGTTCATGGAATTCTCCAGGCAAGAATACTGGAGTGGGTAGCCATTCCCTTCTTCGGGGGATCTTCCCAACCCAGGGATCCAAGCCGGGTCTCCTGCATTGCAGGCAGATTCTTTACCATGTGAGCCACTAGGGGAACCCAAATGAGGCCACTAGAGAAGCCCAAATGAAGAGTATAGTGACGGTAACCAAACATGTTACACTTCGGTTACAAACTTTACAGTATAAGAGAGACTGTCAGGCAATTATAATGTTGTAAAAGGTAATAATAGAAGTTCAGCTTGCTTGGGGAACACACAATCAGTGTACCTAATCTAGTCATCAGAGTAGGAAAGCTTTCAGGGAAGAAGTACTTTCTAACTTTATACCAGATGTGTAAGTAGCAGTGAACCAGGCAAAGAGATAAGAGGAAGTTTTCCCCCTAAGAGGGGCTAACAGGAGCAGGAAGAACACTGAACTTGGGGAGCTAAGAAGGATTTATGAGGATTGAAGCAAAGCATGCAAATGAGAAGACAACAGGAGGGGAAGTTGGAGAATTAAGCTGAGACTAAGTCATATAAGCTGTGTTAACTCATTTTAGAGACTTGGTATCTAAGTTTTTGGGTTTTTTTTTTTTTTTTTGGTATCTAAGTTTTAAAAGAAAGTAAGGAAAACCACTAGACCATTTGGGTATGAGCTAAATCAAATCCCTTACGATTGTACAGTGGAAGTGACAAATAGATTTAAGGGACTAGATCTGATAGACAGAGTACCTGATGAACTATGGATGGAGGTTCATGACATTGTACAGGAGACAGGGAACAAGATCATCTCCAAGAAAAAGATATGCAAAAAGCCAAAATGGTTATCTGAGGAGGCTTTACAAACAGCTATGAAAAGAAGAGATGTGAAAGGCAAAGGAGAAAAGGAAAGATATACCCATTTGAATGCAGAGTTCCAAAGAATAGCAAAGAGAGTTAAGAAAGCCTTCCTCAGTGATGACTGCAAAGAAATAGCAGAAAACAATAGAATGGGAAAGACTAGAAATCTCTTCAAGAAAAGCAGAGATACCACGCAAAGATGGTCACAATAAAGGACAGAAATGGTATGGACCTAACAGAAGCAGAAGATAATTAAGAAGAGGTGGCAAATATACACAGAAGAACTGTACAAAAAACATCTTCACCACCCAGATAATCACGATGGTGTGATCACTCACCTACAACCAGACACCCTGGAATGTGAAGTCAGGTGGGCCTTAGGAAGCATCACTATGAACAAAGCTAGTGGAGGTGATGGAATTCCAGCTGAACTATTTCAAATCCTAAAAGATATGCTGTGAAAGTGCTGCACTCAATATGCCAGCAAATTTGGAAAACTCAGCAGGGCCACAGGACTGGAAAACGTCAGTTTTCATTCCAATCCCAAAGAAAGGCAATGCCAAAGAATGCTCAAACTACCACACAGTTGCACTCATCTCACACACTAGTAAAGTAATGCTCAAAATTCTCCAAGTCAGGCTTCAATAATACATGAACCATAAACTTCCAGATGTTCAAGCTGGATTTAGAAAAGGCAGAGGAACCAGAGATCAAATTGCCAACATCCGCTGGATCAAGGAAAATGCAAGAGAGTTCTGGAAAAACATCTATTTCTGCTTTATTGACTATGCCAAAGCCTTTGACTGTGTGGATCACAATAAACTCTGGAAAATTCTGAAAGAAATGGGAATACCAAACCACCTGACCTGCCTCTTGAGAAATCTGTATGCAGGTCAGGAAGCAACAGTTAGAACTGGACAGGGAACAACAGACTGGTTCCAAATAGGAAAAGGAGTATGTCAAGACTGTATATTGTCACCCTGCTTATTTAACTTATATGCAGAGTACATCATGAGAAATGCTGGGCTGGATGAAGCACAAGCTGGAATCAAGATTGCCGGGAGAAATATCGATAACCTCAGATATGCAGATGACACCACCCTTGTGGCAGAAAGTGAAGAAGAACTAAAGGGCCTCTTGATGAAAGTGGAAGAGGAGAGTGAAAAAGTTGGCTTAAAGCTCAACATTCAGAAAACTAAGATCATGGCATCCGGTCCCATCACTTCATGGCAAATAGATGGGGAAACAGTGGTATCAGTGGCAAACTTATTTTGGGGGCTCCAAAATCACTGCAGATGGTGACTGGAGCCATGAAATTAGAAGACACTTACTCCTTGGAAGGAAAGTTATGACCAACTTAGACAGCATATTAAAGAGCAGAGACATTACTGTGCTAACAAAGGTCCATCTAGTCAAGGCTATGGTTTTTCCAGTAGTCATGTATGAATGTAAGAGTTAGACTATAAAGAAAGCTGAGTGCCGAGGAATTGATGCTTTTGATCTGTGGTGTTGGAGAAGACTCTTGAGAGTCCCTTGGACTGCAAGGAGATCCGAACAGTCCTGAGTGTTCATTGGAAGGACTGAAACTCTAATACTTTGGCCACCTGATGCGAAAACTGACTCATTGGAGAAGACCCTGGTGCAGGGAAAGATTGAAGGCGAGAGGAGAAGGGGAAGACAGGATGAGATGGTTGGATGGCATTACTGACTCAATGGACATGAGTTTGAGTAAACTCCGGGAATTGGTGATGGACAGGGAAGCCTGTTGTGCCGCAGTCCATGGGGTCACAAAGAGTTGGACATGACTGAGTGACTGAACTGAACTGAACTGAAGTTTTAGAAAGAGTCCTCTAGAGTAGTGGTAATTAGAAGGTAGCAAGAATGGAGACTCATGGGATATCTTTTGGAAGAGTCCAAGAAAGAAATGGGGGAATTTCCTGTATTGGAAAGATGTAGATAGAATTTATAAGATAGTTAGAAGGTAAAAATTGATTGGATTAGGAAGTTAAAACTAAGGGAAGGATAAAGACTTTCTGGCTTGGGCAGTTAGATGTGTTGTAGCTCCCTCTGCTGAAAGAATAGGGGAGGGGGGACGTAATGAGCAAACAGGCTTCAGCTTTGGCACACTAACTCCAAAATCAGATGCTACTGGGGGCCGCTTTGTGATGTATACTAAGTAACCTCTGTTGTGTAACCTTAGATGTTACCCCTTTTCTTCATAGATTAAGCACATAAAGTACAACTCATAGTTACAATATTATGAATACTATTACATAGAGACCAGTGTTATTTTACAAATATAAATGTTTTAACTTTCTTTATTAAACATATATAGCTAATATTTTCAATTACAAAAAATCCTTTAAAATATATGTGAATGTTGAATGAGCCTCTCCTTCATTTATTTTTAATTTTTAATTCTTTTGTGTGGGTTTCTAACATTAAGGTTTTCTAACATTATCATGATATAGATCTGCAGATCTCAGCAACATACCAGCCACTCTTTACTTTTCTGGGACCATAGAGAATTCGGGAAGAAAAAAAAAAATCCTCATTTCAGGTTTTGCAAACACTTTCTATAGTCATTGACCTGCCATACAACTTCAGGTTTAATCCATTAACATTTTTAAGACATTCATTCACATAATATCAAGCTCTTTTAAGATCAGCAGCTATTGCTTTTCCTTTTTCCCTGTATGATTCTCCAGTGAAGTGACCTTAAATCTTTTGTGGCTGAGAAATTCAAACATTTGTGGGGTAGGATTCATGCGATGATGGGAATTATAACCTGCAACTTTCTTTCTCCTTAAACGTCAGTTTAACTGTTTGGTATTGTCCCATTTTCATTCAGTGTTTTCTTCTTGGAAGTTGTCTCCTGCTTTCCTTCAAGCACTACTCTCTGTCGAATGTCAGCAGATAGTCGTTTAAGATCAGAGGTAAGTTATACCAGATTCTTGCAATTTTCTTAAAACATTCCATTTTTCTTGTTAGCATTTTACCCCCAAAATAATTGTAATACAACTCTGTTTCAAGTACAAATCTATTATTTAAACTAACAAACACTCTTAAGAAATAATTCCAAAGTTTTCAGCTTTTAAGGAAAGTAGTTGATTATTTTTATCTTTGTATTAAAGCTCTATTTAGTATGAAAGTGACTCTTTACAGTCTAGTTTTAATTTTTTATGTCTACCAACCTACAATGATATGCCTCTCTATGGTGTAATTTAGAAAACCAAATCAGGTATATATATTATTTATAACTTCAGTTATTTTTAGATTACTCCATTTTTAATTTCTCTAGTATTGATTGTCTTTGATTGCAGAGTATATTGGCTCTCGGATTTCTTTTCATCAAGTCCTTTGTAACGGTTTGTTGCAGGCTTATCTTAAAAGGGTGTTTTTTTTCTCCTTTCTTTATACTTCTCCCTTTCTATTAATACCTTTCTTGTGGTTGATTCCACTTCATCTCTTCTGGGCTTCTGTCCCACAGTGTCGTTAAGAATCTGAGAGAGCTAGAGGATGGTTTGGATGCAGTCTGGCAGTTCTCATTGCAAGACTGGGGCAGCCCCCATGGACTTCCCCTTGCATGCGTTTTCATTATGCAGACTACTCTTTCACCTTAGCCAAAGATCGTGACTTTGTGGGTACCTTTCCCCCCAAAACAAAGATTAAAAACCACTGAAGCTGCCCCAGTCCTGTGTTATCGCTACTTGTTCCCAGAACTGAAGCCTAGTAAGCCTCCCTGTCTGCTCCCTTGCTTCTTACTAGTGTTTTTAATCCATTTCTGGTCTACAAAAATGTTTGTCCTGTTTGGAATCTCAGGTTGTTGTTGTTTTTGTTTTCCTCCTCATCATAAATTGTCCTTTTGAATGTGTGTTTGAAACAAGTGACAGGGTCCAAATCATAGCCTTCAAGTCCCATCATGCACAGGAGTCCTCCAGTGTCATCTTTGATTAACCCTGTGGTCTTCTAGGTGTCTTGGATTGCAGACAGTGAGACGAGCATCATGCTAATGCTGGGACGCTGCCTGCCGCACATCGTCCCTAACGTGCTGTTGGCCAAGAGAGAGGTGAGACCCAGAGAAGTACTGTCATCCCCATCATCACGTTGTCCATTTTTCGTCATTTTGAAGTTTAGTGTTATATTTTTATTTTGTTAAAGTTTATTACTTGCAATCATATTCTTACTTTTGTGTATGCATCTCTGCTCCTAGAGAATGGTTTTACACCTCTGTCAGGTGAGTTCAGTAAAACTGCATGATATTCATGTTTTCCAATTTTGCTTAAAGCATCATTAGCTTCTGCAGCACTAACTATTACTGCAGGTCCATTTATGTGCCATGAACACTGTCTGTGCTCTACATTACCAGTTAACTAATTTGATCTCTCTCTTGATATGATATGTGTGACTTGCCTACAGAAACAGACAGTCTTGGGATTGAACATTAATAGGAACTAATAATGTAACTCTTTTCTTAAATGTACTTGTAGTTACCTCTTATTAATGTTAGTTTTATTGTATTTGTTTGGCAGTAGTTAGACTTGTCTTAGAACAGGATAGTTATAATATTGTCTGCAATAACTTTTGAGAGTATCTTTTTCATTTTTCTTGTAGCTAACCTGTTATTGACAGATGCTTTCAATGTCTAAAATAGAGTAGCAGATTTATTTTGGTACACATTGCCTATGTTATAAGCCATAAATACTATAGAAAGTATTCTTTAGAGTTATATTTCACCATTAAAAGATTAAGGAAAAATTATCTGTTATCTCATTTAAATAGTGAATGATTTATTTGCAAACAAGTTTATTTATTTGAATTATTCAATTTATGAAATCAATTTGCAATTCACAAATTTCTTAAATAGGTTAAGAATATTATCAAACGTGTCCTACAAGTTTTCTTTTGTTAACCTCTTAATCTTTACCACTGGTTTAAATCATAATTCACGGGAACTACAGTATGATAGGTACACAAGGCATTGGCAAAACCCATATAAGAGCTTATCCTTAATTATCTGTTTAGCACAAGAAATTTGTACGATCCTCAAGAAAACGTATATGTAGAGCTTTAATAATTTTTATATTTATAGGTATTTTTAATTTAAAAATGGTAAACATGACTGTTTTCTTACGGTTTTATTTTACCGAATAGTTGTGATATATTAAGAAGTATGAAAATTTTCTATGTCTTGAAGGATCAGTGTCCAATTTCAGATTGTTTTGCAGTTCTGCCTGGCAGAATGGTGTTTGAGCTTCTTTTTCCTTTTTCAGCTTGTAACATAATCTGTGCAATGCATTAATGTTTGCATCCCTTTTACTATGTTTCCTTAAGATAATCTTTAAAGTAGCATAGAAACCTAATTGCTATGAGATGCAGTTTAAGATTTTTTTTAATTTTTATTTTCCCTTTTTTAATCATAAAAAACTCTACCACTAAAACATTGTACTGCATGAGTTTTTATAAATTTGCATCATCAGTAATCAGATATATTATATATGTAAATATAAAGTGAAAGAGGAGAGTGAAAAAGTTGGCTTAAAACTCAACATTCAGAAAACTAAGATCATGGCATCTGGTCCCATCACTTCATGGCAAATAGATGGGGAAACAGTGGAAACAGTGTCAGACTTTATTTTGGGGGGCTCCAAAAGCACTGCAGATGGTGACTGCAGCCATGACATTAAAAGATGCTTACTCCTTGGAAAGTTATGACCAACCTAGACATCATATTAAAAAGCAGAGACATTACTTTGCCAACAAAGGTCCGTCTAGTCAAGGCTATGGTTTTTCCAGTGGTCATGTATGGATGTGAGAGTTGGGCTGTGAAGAGCGCTGAGTGCTGAAAAATTGATGCTTTTGAACTGTGGTGTTGGAGAAGACTCTTGAAAGTCCCTTGGACTGCAAGGAGATCCAGCCAGTCCATCCTAAAGATCAGTCCTGGGTGTTCATTGGAAGGACTGATGCTGAAGCTGAAACTGTAGTACTTTGGCCACCTGATGCGAAGAGTTGACTCATTGGAAAAGACCCTGATGCTGGGTGGGATTGGGGGCAGGAGGAGAAGGGGACGACAGAGGATGAGATGGCTGGATGGCATCACCAACTCAATGGACATGAGTTAGAGTAAACTGCGGGAGTTGGTGATGGCAGGGAGGTCTGGTGTGCTGCGATTCATGGGGTCACAAAGAGTCGGACACGACTGAACTGAACTGAACTGATATATGTAAGCATATATTTATATATATACACTTGTATATTTTATTTGTGTCATCATGTTTACTTTTCTGGCTGATTTTAAGTTTTTTATATTTAAAAATATTTTTATACTTATAATTTCATGAAGATTGAATCACTTATCTTTGTTTTCTTAATTATTTGTATCATATTTTGTTTTACCAGAAAATTTACCATTTTTAGTATACCAGAGTTGTATTCCCTCAAAATTAAATTGGTAAATAATGAGGTTTATCTTGCCTTTCTTTGAAACTAATCCCAGGGCATAGAAGCACAGACCTTTTATTTGATTTTATCCTTTGATATTGGATTATTTATATTTAATATTTTACCCTAGTTCCATAAATTTATATTTTTTAAAAGGTCTTATGATTTAAGGATTAATATTTTTGTTTTTTCTTATTTCTCAAGTTTTTTGTGTTCTTTTATCAGTATAAGCCTTTTTATCAGTATGTGAATACAATTAAAATGTCCATTTGTATGATTGATCATAGCAATATCCTAGATAATTTAAAAAATAAAACATTAAAAACAGAGTGTAAGGTTTGATTAAATAATGTATATTCATGGTTTAACATCTTTTGAATATGAAAAGGTGTACAATAAGAGCTTTTCTTCCCCTGTCCCTGAGCTATCATTTCACATGTGGTAAATTTTAGTAAATCCTTTGCCCATTTTTTAAGTGGATTGTTTGTCTTTGAATTGTAAGAGTTCTTACAATTCTGGATATTAAGAGAAATCTGATTTGCAAGTATATCTGCAAGTATTTTCTTGCAAGTATTTTCTGATTTGCAAGTATTGATTTGCAAGTATTTTCTTCCATCCTGTAGTTGATGTTGTCCTTAAATGGAGAGATGTTTTCCATTTCTGTGAAATCTGATTTCTCTATTTTTTTCTTTTGTTGCTTATGTTTTTGGTATCCATCTAAGAATCCATTGCCAAAGCTGAAGTCAGAAAGATTTACCCCTATGTTTTCTTCTAATAGTTCTATACCTTTAGGTCTTATATTTAGGTGATTGATCCATGTTTTTGTTTTGTTTTTTGTTAATATATGGAGTGAGGCAGGAGTTCAGAACTGTATTCTTTTCGTGTAGTTACCCAGGTGTCCCAGCACCATTTGTTGAAGAGACAATTGTTTCTTTATTGAATGGTCATGGCACCTTTGTCAAAAATCAGTTTGATGTAGATGTTTGGATTCATTTGTATACTTTCAATTCTGTACCATGGGTCTTTATGTTTATTTATCTTTATGCCTGTTCCACTCTATTTTGATTACTGTAGCTTTACAGTAAGTTTGGAAATTAGGAAGTATGAGTCTTCCATATTTGTTCTCTTTTTCAATATCATTTAGCCATTTAGGGCCCCTTTTGGTTCCACATAATGGGATGCTCAGTTTTGGTCTCTGCCTTAAAAGTCATTTGAATTTTGATAGGAATTGCACTGAATCTGTGGATTCCTTTGAGGAATATTGACATTCAAACAGCATTAACTCTTGTGTTTTATGAACAGGAAATTCTTTATAGTATTTGCACACAGAATGTGTTAAGAATTGTTCCTCCTTTTCTGTTCTTTCAAAGAGTTGAGTAGGATCAGTATTAATAATTCTTTAAATGTGTTTTAGAATTCACAAGCAAAGTCATCTGATCCTAGAGGTTTTTTAATTATTGATTCAATCTATTTGCCTGTGATAGGTCTGTTTTGATTTTCTGTTTCTTCTTGTGTCAGTTTTGGTCATTTATGTGATTCTAGGAATTAGTTTATTATCTAACTTGTTGGTGGACCATTGTTTATGGTATTCACTTATAATCCTTTTAATTTTTTTAAGTTTGTTACTAATGTCCTCTTCTCTATTTCTGATTCTAGTTGTTTGCATCTTCTCTATTTTTCTCTTAGTCAGTCAAGGTAAAAGATGGTCAATTGTATTGATCCTTTCAAAGAGCCAACTTCTGATGTTGTTGATTCTGGGTTTTTTTCAGTCCTGTATTTCACTTACCTCTGCTGTGATCTTTATTATTTTCTTCTTTCTGCTGGCCTTTAGTTTAGTTTCCTTTTTGTGGCAAGGTTGTTGAACTGGAATCTTGTCTTTTATTAATGTAGGTGATTATGGCTATAAATTTCCCTCTGTGTTCTGCTTATGCTGCATCTCACATGTTTTGGTATGTTCTGTTTTTCATTTATCTCAAAGTATTTTAATTTCCTTAGTGATTTCTTTGACCCTTTGGTTGTTTTAGAGTGTGTTGTGTAAAATGTATATCATTAAAGCTATAAAAAGAAAACAAGATAAAGGAGAGCACCAATTCCCTAAAAGCCTTAAAAATTAGCTAGTAACTCTAAAGACTTGTTCATCTTCTAAGAAACCAAACTTTACTCTTTTACATTACCATATGTGGTTGCTCTGTGGTAAATTTTTAACTTAAGAGCAATAATATAATTTATAATTGTATGAGAGAAATGTAGTAGTACAAGTATAGTAAAGTAAATAGTAAGTTGCGTAAGCTTGGTCCACCTTCTTTACCCATGTTGTGTTTGTGTGTGTGTGTCTTGTAATTTTCAGAGCAAATCACATGCTCTTTAGCAGTATCAGAGTTTAAAAGTCACTAAAGTATTTCAGTTAGGCTTCCTGAAGGCTGAGACCTGGGAATTATAGATAATAATTCTAAGAATAGGTACTTTAGCAGCCCTTGAAGTATAAAACTTTTCCAGAGCTGAGTAATCTTGTCTTTTCCTTGTATAAGTCTTTGTAATGTTTTTTTTTCTTTGTATGTTACTACCAACATCATGACAAATTTCAACTGAAAATCCAAATCAAAGGGTGTATACTTAACAGTATTTGAC